ATAGTAATAGTAATGATAATAGTAGCAATAATGATACCGAAAATATAATGATAATAACACTAATACGATCACTAACAAAAATGATACTAATGGTTAGCATGCTAACTTCAATGATTAAAAAAACACAGCCTAAGAGATTACTTATTTACTACTAAGATTTCAATAATCACCTCTGAATTTAATTTTACCAAACAACCTATTCAATAAAGCGTCAGTGGCGTTTAAAAAGTTCCCTTCTAAGGATAATATAATTGTCCAATAGCACTGACATTGAGTAACGACAAACAGATTGGCAAAGAATGGTCGTTACTTTGAGTCGATAAAAGTATATATGAACTGACTTTCATTTGACCGCTAGCAAGGAACATGGTTTGCACCCTTGATAGTTGCGGTTTTTTCATCAATGACACACGCGATGAGAGAAAATACAACTCTGAAGACCACAAAAGATGCTACTAAGTTTGGTGTAACACTTTTCAAAAGAAATATAGGAACTTTTTGAATTGAATGAACCTGTTAAATTCTAGTGTAAACTGGCTGCTTATCGTGATACGAGTAACAAAAACAATTGTAACAGAATGGTTTCAACATTAAAACGAATTTACCGCAGAATTCGAAAGCACCTGAGCAATTATACCAAAGCAATTATTCCGCCTGAAAATCACCGAAATTTTTCTCTTGACAGAAAATTGGCTCCAAAGCGATCATCAGTTGATTGGGATTCTCTGGTGATCCCACACCAGCCTATAAAAAAGACTTTTTAATTTAGATAGAAAACCTAAAACAAACCTGAAAGATGTCGTAAAGTCGATGAAAATAAGCATGCGCCTTTAAATGTTATGATGATGTTTGCCATAAGATTGGCACACCTAAACAGACATATAAAGTTGTGAGCACGCCCAGATTTCAAGATTTGGGGGCATTCATTTCGAACTGGATGAGACATGATAAGCTGCTTCTCTCATAAACTGCTTTGCACTCGGATTCCATATTGCCGGAACAGTTAGAACCCATTTGACATCGTCTGGACTGAAATGATCATCTCCTGTCCGCTGACAGATTACTTTGATGGCTTCGTCTTTGAGAAACTCAATGGACTTGGCGATCACTGTCTTGGCCTTGACAGGTTGTCCGTTGGCTGCTTCTATTAGAGTCTTACTGTCAAGACTCTAGAAGAGAATGAACCCAGCGTTTAAAGGAAAATATGTCGCAATATTTTTTTGAAATCACCTTAACAAAGAAGCGATTCTAAGAAACTTTAGATGAACCAAAATATTTAAGGATGACGAAGATAAACGCGTATAATACGATTAAAGATGACAGAATTGAAATTTTAGACTAATGCTTTCGCCATGATGAAGTCCTCCAAGATGAGCAAGTGTACTGTTGAACCTGACGGCCATGATGGACCAATGGTCTATCAGGGCTAAGGTCGAGCTAGTGCTTCTTACGCTGGCATTAAATAAGCATTTTGTAAACGTCTTTGTGGAAATCAATGAGATGGCACGATATGTTCAATACTTTGTTCAATAATTAATTAAAAAAGTAAAAATAGAAAAACAATATTCTTTCGAGCAACAACTCTCGGGCTGGACGGTTGGTAAGTCTGGATGTTAAGACAAAGCTCTTTTTGTGTGCTCGCTTTTCTTTTCTAGAACGTGAACAGCATCACTGAGATATTACAGGCGCCGTGGTTTGTCAAAAACTGTTTATTGCACCGGCTAACCCATAGAATATTAAAGTCTTTCATATTTATGAAAGTAGTGGAAATAGACCGGCATCCAGCTCGCGATTCACATACAATCCTCGTGTTTTCCCAACATCCCGCGTGGGTAATCACGCCCTAAACCAAAAGGGAAGTGCGGTCTATGTCTTCAATAATTTATCTTTGAAACTGATCAGTGGGGCTCATTCTTATCTCCTCATTGTCATTTTAAAATGCTTGAAAAAGAGATAATCTTTCTCTTCTCTTTCATCTTCAGAAGACTGCTGTACGTTTCCATCGCTTCATAACCAAATAAGTCAAATGACAGATCTGTTTCGAGTAGCAAGCATGTTGGGTTTTTGCTTGTTTGAGCGGCTTGTTCATTCGCCCAGTCTCTGTTCATGAAGATAGCGTCCTTTCCCTCATCTTTGATGAATGAAAAAGCAAATCCACCATAGGTTGTTCCAAAATCAATGGTAACAACTGCCAGATATGAACGCCTCGAAGTATAAAGGAATGAGCCTTCTAGCGCTGTAAGAGATTAAAACGACAATTTTATCTCTTACTAACCGATTTCGAGAACCGTACTGTACGTTACGGACCGAGTTTTATGGCCCGTGCGCTTCGTGCATTGGCCATAAATCGGACGGAAAAAGAAGCTCCGTAACTTACAGTACAAACTGAGAAAAACGAGAGAGAACATTTTATTGGCTTCCAATGAAAACTGACGTTGAGTCGTCAAAAGCTCATGATATTCGTTTAATACCCATAATTCTCAATAATGAAAAATTACATAAAAAAGAACAGGTCGAGTATACAAAGGTTTTCAGCAAGGAACTGTAATACAAAGTTCTGTTGGTAACTCCAGATATTTTGTCGAGAGGTTTTCAAATGCCTGAAATCTGCAGGGAACAACGCGTTTCTTCGTCGAAATGGCGTAGAAAGTGTGAACTAACGGCTAACTTTGTTCATTATCGACGTCAAATGGATGAATGAATTTCATCAATGCGATAGAAAACTGTACAAGGATCTGGTGTTTTTATAGAAGCTGCTAGGTACACTCAATGCAGACCGAACAGGATTAAAGACAGGTTGAAATTGGCTTTTGGCTGCAAACGAAAAAAAAATCGATATCCATAAAAAACGACAAATAGAAAATGTTATTTGAAGTTTTTCCTTGAGTCTGATGCCATAATAATAGTTTGGAATGTCTCGGTCTTCAAAGGTGGTGTGACGAGGAAAAGGATCAGTTGGATTCACAGCGTTTTAAAATATGAACTCTTTGAATGACTAAGATCTCTCTGGGCGATCGAAGCGATCTAGCGTTGCGAAATTTCCTTGTTTACTTGTTATTGAGTTAAAGCGTGTGACAGCGTCAGCGACTATAGCTTTTTAGACGGGCTAACTCGTCAAAGGCTTTCTTGTTATAATCTTTTTTTTTAACGAAATAATGATGAAAAAAAAACTAGTAAATAAAGTGAAAGCCATTCAGCAGGTAAAATAATTCTTGGACGTAAAAATTAACATTAATAATAATTTCTCTTCAGTATCAAAGCTAAATCTTATCAAAATTCTATTCAGAATAAACAATGCTCACAACTTCGTGATTTATCTCGGAAAACGGCCGAGTTATCTGTGCCAAGGATCAATTACCTATTGGTGAGTGCAGGGAAAGGTCAGGTTGACGTAAGCTCCCACGAATTCTTGGGAAAGCACTCAAGCTAAGAGAAGATAATATCTTCCATAATCCCTGTGAGAGTGTGTATTTTCTCGGAAAACAGCCGAGTTCCCGATGCCTAAAATCAATTTCCTATTGGTGGATGGAGGAAAGGTGAAGTTGACTTAAGTTTCCGCGAATTCTTGGAATAACATCCGAGCTTAGAGAAGATCAGTTATATATTCCATTCTCCTGTATAATAGGCTCATGAATATTATTGAATTCACATCAGCCACAACAACCTGCATGAAAGTGTTGATAAGGAGGGACTTTCATCGATAATGTTAAGTCAATGACTTTTTCTTTCCGGTTTTGTTTTAGTCCCAGTTTTACTCCTTTTAAGCAGAAAGTTTTTAATTTTCAACTTGCTCCTCCTCTTAACCGTTATTGCTTTATGAAGGATAATTTTCTATTTTAATATGTCCCGTGGGATTTCATAAAACATACTTGAATATCTGACCAGTAACATCAGTTATCTGCGTTATTCAGATATCAGTTAAATAATCCACATAGCCCGCCCGGCCATTGCGTTACTTGTGATCGATGCTTATACTGTAACTATTTGTGTTTCGATCATGAGCCGTGCACCGGAACAAAATCTGGCAGACTGGAAACTTTGGGCTAGCGGCTCGAAAATTATCACGGTGAGGGACTGATGTAAGGGCTCGAACGGCAAAGGTTAGCTTCAAAATGAACACGAAATACAAGTACACGTACAGAACCAACTGAAATTTTCGAGTTTAAAAGGAAGAAGGCGAGCCGGGAATGGAAATCAATCTAAACTAAATTTTAGTTCATGCGAGATTCTCTATTCCAGAGCCATAATCACTTTAGTGTCACAAGGATGTTAAACTAGTAGTATCTTTACTATGGATGATAAGTACAAAATAAATATAACAGATAATGTGCATTTTTACAGAATGAAGAAACTAGTAGAATAGGTCTTATTGTTTGGAAGCTTTGAGGTTTTCATCAAATGTTGACTTAAAGTTCGTTATGTAGACAGCTTCATAAAAATTTAGCTGTGATGAACTAGGCGAACTGAGTATGAAGGATAACTCGCTCATCCTACAATCAGCAAGGATCTTAATTTATCATTAATTTATACGAGCTAGATGTCTATGGCCTCAGTTTTGATATGCAAGTTAAGTAAGCTGCCTTTAAATGTCAAGAAGAGTAGGGACAAAATTAAAGATCATTATTTACTAGCGAAATACCGACGTAAGTACCTTAAAACCTTCCGCCTAAAATCTAAAACGATTCAATACTAATGTAGTCTTCCACAATCATTTTTATAGAATAGTAATTTTGAGATAATAGCGAGACTCGATATCGACTGAAAGAATAATTTAAAATCCTTTGTTGCTGCTTACAATTGCAAGTAGTACTAATTTTCGTATCAACATATAAATGAATAACAATCGCATTTGTTACGTATCACAAAAATTCATCGGTTAATGGAAGAAACATTTGTTTAAGTAAAATGAAAAATTTACAGGTGGTTTGGAGGGTCCAGTGTTACCACTGGTAAACCCATACTTTAATTTCTAAAGTCATTCTCTGACACAAACTTCTGCAATTGTTTACAACTGTTGATCAATTAAAAATGCCTAAATCTACTAACTGCTGGCTAGAAAGTCTAGATGAACCGTGGATTGTCGGTTGCTAGTACGATTAACAGCCGTGACCTTTATCTCAGTTCCACCAAAGAGCAAATGTATCTCAATATCTTTCGTTTTCCATGCCTCTGGTGTTTCAATCACTAATCCACGACCGGGGGCCTTGCGCACCTCAGGATCTGTAACAAACTCCACATCTGGACATTCTGATTGGTAGAAATCGAGCTTCACTTGTTTCTCTTCGCCTGTCAAGGGTGCAAAACCAGTGAATTGACGTTTTTCTCCAACTTTAACGACTTCATCGACTTTAACAAACTTAAAAAACACATCTTTACAGCGTGGGATTCCAGCTATTATTTCCTTTTTCGATTCAGGATGTAACCCGTCGAGGAAGAGCTTATGTACACGAATGCCATAGGTGGTAGCCATTATTCTGGACTCGAAAGTGTTAGGTTTCTGTCCAAACATCACAGCACCTTGGACAACTGCAAGGGATGCGCAGTGCGGTATTAAGATGCGATAGGCATGGCCAAAATGCCCCTTGATTCTTTCCTGTAAAACAGCTGAGTCAGAAAAACCGCCTACGAGGAATGCAAACTTGACCTCAGACAATTCTGGTTTGGCGAGAAGGTTGGATAGGTGGGAAATGATGTCATCCAAGACTGGGTTGAACAGCTGCCTCATGACTTTTGGTTCAAGGCAGAGGTACTCGTTACGAAGGACTTTTATTTCATCCAGGCTGTAATGCTGCTGAATGGCTGTGTTAATATCGCAACCTCTCTGGCTGAGAAATTTACTCAAGAAACTACCAGGCAACCGGATTCGTGTTGTCCCCCCTTCACAGATACGTTTTCCGCGTTTCTTTACTTCGAAATCATTCATGAGACAGAGCCAATCCACCGGATTGTGACAGGCATAATTATCAAGGAAGGATTTGGTGAAAATTTGTTCAAGAAGGATCCTGAACTGTCTGTTGACATTCTGTCCTCCAAACATACCTCCTGTGGCTTTATAAAGCTCTCGGATTGCACCGTTTTCCATAAGTTCATGAACAGTCACATCAAGAGTTCCGCCTACATGAATACAAGAGTCAAGATATTTTAGAATAACGTTCTGGCTCCGGTTGTTCGAAAGTTGGATAACGCCATCCACTGGATTAAACTCTATACGGTGGATAACGCTATACGTTTTGCTATCACTTATCCACCGGATAGTAATTCATCCGTTGGATAGCATTATCCGACTTTTATATAACTGGGCCCTGCACATTTGTTATAACAGAAAACATTTCATGAAAATGATAGAAAATTGATCACTTAAAAAATGAGGTGTCTAGCTTTAAATGTGCTGACTATTTCTGTCTCGAGATTTATACTTTCTATTTACTCTGCTGATCATCACGGTAAATGGAAAAAAGTAAAAAAACTAAAATAAAGCATTTAACCGCACAAGGTCCAGATGTCTTTGTTCAAGTCAAGAGTTTCCAATGGAACAATTTGCTACTAGAAAAATTGAATTTACCTCCAATGTCAATTACCATGTACTGTGTTTCTGGTCGGGCGATGGTGTCCTTAACTGAGGCATCATTGCTACCACTCTCAGCAACAAACTCTCTCACCTTTTGCTCTCTACAGTAGACGGAGGCCGCCTCTGGCTCCAAAGCGATCAGTATCTGCTCTGGGTTGGAGGGATGTGCCAGCCCTGCCTAAGATAAAAGTACAAGCACTGGATGTCAGTATAGTCGATGAAGATGATGTTACAAAGACTTATTGCAGAAAATGGATGTAGGAAAGAAGTATTTTAGCCCACTTTTTCCTTGTTGCGCTTTTGCAATTTCGTAGAGCGAGCCCTAACCAAGCATACTGGTTCAGTAATGTTTCACCATTTTTTTCTCGTATGGTGCAAGAATTTGCATCCTTCAAAGCAACAGCTTTACCCTTCTTTGCGTTGGCAATTTGAAAGTTAGTCAATAATACAGATCATTACACGAATTTGTTGATGTTTGAAATGTGTATATCATGACAGCTCACTTGATAAGCAGCCTCTCTCATGAATTGTTTTGCCGCTGGTTTCCATATTGCTGGGACGGTCAAGACCCATTGCACATCATTTCCTCCGAAGTCTTCGTCACCAGTTCTCTCCTTAATCACCTCTAGTGCGCGTGTGTAAAGATATGTTATGGAATATTTAAAAACATCCAAGGCCCTCATGTGCTTGCCATTCGCTGCCTCTACAGTGGTGTTCATATTCAAGCTCTGTAAGGACAAAAACCACGTTTGTTTCAAAAGTTTATTAGTTTTATGTTTGCAATAAGTTTCTGCGCTCTCATTCAGTTCGGAATTAATAACCTAAACAATATTAGAAGTATCTGTTGATTAACATTTCTGAAAAAAGTACAAAACTTGAAAAGCACCAAATTTTGAGGAAAACCAAATAACCTTTAAATTGACCTAAGCTTTGATATAATAGCTTTGCTTTACCCTGATCTCCTTCAAAGTTAATAAACAAATTGCCAACATTTATCAGAATAACACAGCTTCTTTCTTCCATACCAGAATCGACTAATGTTTATTAACATAAAATCCTTCAAAGATTTTCCAATATTTCTTCTAAATAAGGAAGTTTCATATATTTGGAAAAAAAAAAAAAAAAAAAAGAATTTTTCTCTCACCTCATTGTTATGAAGAATCATTTTAAAGCAATCAAAGTAAAAATATTGTCGAGCTTCCTCCTCCTCCAAATCAGCAAATTTATCTTTGGCTTCATAGCCAAACGAATTGAAACTCTGGTCTGGATTGAGCAACAAACATGTAGGTGTCTTCATAGTGGAGTAGCCTTGGTCACTTCCCCATTCTTTATTCATGTGGATACTTTTTTCTCCATCTTTGTTATTGAACGCAAATGCAAACCCACTAAACGTTGTGCCAAAGTCAATTGCTACCACAGCGATGAATGTAACAGGAGCGGAGAGGAAAAGTTCACCTCCCTCTTGATCGTCTGTTGAACAATAATTATAGTCAAAAACTAAATAATTAAATAAGCACATGCTTCAGGAAGAAATGTCAAATAGATGAGAGAGGCAGGTGATGACATAAAACTTCAGTTTGACTAAAAGGAATGCAAAGTAATGAAACGTGGTTTCAGTAAATGTATTGGTAGATGTATTGCAGAAGAAATCCGAGAAAGCCGAAGAGTCGTCGACTTCTTGATATCATAGTTTTAGAGGATGCCAAGTTTGAAGAAAATCACGAGTTAAAGTTCACTGTTGTGTTTAATCATAAACGAGACGAATCACTGAGGTCTTATTTTCGCCTTCAAAAAATATGTTATGGTCCATTTAATACTAGGAATGTTTGTTTGAGCGACTTTCGATTCTGTTTTCGATTTCATGAGCTCATGTAGTGGTCGGTCGTAATAAGATTGGTTAGTCATCGCCAACTCACCTTCCGAGGTTCTCTGCATCTTGAAGACAGCTCTTGTTCATCGAACATGAAGATTTGTAGTCGAAACCACTCGGCGGTGAATTAATCGCCTTCTAGGAAACTAGGTCATTATGATGTCTTACAGGGGATTTTGTCTCTTTCTTGGAAAGATTACGTCATAATTATAATGGCCTCAAAGATGTCGATTTCTTTGATTAGAGACATCAGACGCCGTTGAAATCAAAACTGTGAGGGGGACTGTAGTATATGAATTATGGCTTTAGCGTATCTTCGATTAGTTTTTCGTCTGTTTTAAGCTTTCGACTTGTTGTATGTTATGCTCTGCTTAAAACTCATTTCTCAAAATTGCAAAGTCAATATAAATAAATAAATAAATAAATAACATGACACTTCCGGTTTTTCTCAGAAATCTTGTAACATCCCGGCGGTTTGTGTCATTTTCAAGT